TGCTGTCCCATGAACTCTAAAGCTTTTCTTTCGGTAAGCTTAAGCATTAGCTTTATATTAAAATTAATGTTCTCAATTTGTAACCGTTTTAAATATTCTAGTTTCCACAATGGACTTACAAAGGTTTTGAGACAGCACCAGATATACATGCTAAGCCCATAATTCCAAGCACTCAAGCGGAAAGAGATTTATTGAAAGCTATGACAAATTTAACAAATAGAATATTATCGAGCACCGGTTCTAGAAGCTTGTTAAAGTATGTTATTTATTTAATAAATTTTATGATGTGATTTACATTGCGATTAAGTTGTAATACTTATTACAATAGGATAAGGTCGCAACACCCAGAAGTCTTCAACCAATTAAGTACTTATCACAAGGTAATCCAAATGCTATCGTCATATCACTATCGTTTACCCACACGGCGTATTATCAGCGAATTATTTGATATAAATTTCACAAAAGAAACATTTGATCAACTCGATAAGCTTATGGAAGTACGTAATGGTTGTAATGGAGTTAATGGAATTTCAGATGATGCATTAGCAGAAGATGGTGGTGGTACAGATGATGCAGATGCACAACTACATAAGCAAAGAGTGGAAAATTTTACTAGGGTGCATCGTGGTAGCGATGGTGTTATTGCTGTTATGTCGGACGATCAGATGGATGGGAGTGCGGAGGAACCTGTTCCGAAACAAGATTTGTTACCTGTTAAAATTGTCGTAGGGTTTAATACTACGTGAACATTTTTTATTCTGGTTGTGAGCCACATTTTTTATAAACTATCTTGTGAATTTTTGTATAGTATTTATTATTTAGTTATATGAAACAATTTTGGACTTTCATATATCCTTGAGTCGTCTTATTGAACATGGAACGCGAAAACCATGAATTGGACAAAGTGTAGTAATGTGATTTATTCGCCAAATATATAAGAACTAACGATTCTATTTATATATTTATATATTATAGATTATTTTGATAGCACAATTATTACAATTTTTATTTTTTTGATTGTATAACATATATTCGCTATCATATTGTAACATATTAAAGTTATATCACGATCATTGATTCTTAAAAAATATAAAGGAGAGAGGGAAGGGTATTATGGCGAATCGGGATATCTCATGATCCGTGATCAAATCGGACGAAATTTATACCATTCGATTCCATAAATTCTTCTTTTTTTTTTTTTTTTACAAATATTAAAAATTTTCTTCATTATTTTGTAATCCAAACCAAGAGATTTTTACAAACAATCCCTCTTATTGCAGTATTGAGGATTCGATTGATATAAAAATCGCCTAATTCTGAGCAGAGTCATGAAATATTCATATTTAAAGTATGTAGAAAACAATAGTAAAAGGGTATTGTGGCGAATTGGGATATATAGTACACCATTCGATTCCTCTCGTCGAATGGTATAAATTCATTCGGTTATAATCACCGGATCACAAAATACCCGATTCGCCATAAGCCCTAATACAAAAAATTCGATTGAACCTGATGAGGCGAATCAAATGATGTATACGTACTATTTCGGAGCATTTTGGGGGGTGGCATTAGCAAAAATGGGGTGGAAATAGCAATTCCCAATATTTATTATTTAAAGATAAATTACATCATATCATAAATCTTATAAGTTATCCGAAATTAAGCCAGAAAATTTCGTTACACCTGATCTTGAAATTTGATTGGTCAAAAACCATATAGAATTGAAAATTTTACTTTGTATTGGCTGATTAGTGTTTTAAAGCTGGCTAATGCAGCCATGGCTAAGCCGGCTTAGCCAGCTAAGCCAGCCGATACAAAATGATCGGCTGGCTAATATGGCTGAATCACATGACTCTTGCTTCGAATTGACCAATAGAATTGTAAATCAAATAAAAATTATAATCATATCAGCGGATCAGCGTAATTGAGTAAATCGACCAATCATGATCGAGGATTATCAAAAAAATTTTACACGAAAATTTATTATAGAGCAAATTTTCACAAAAACGGCCTTTTTAACCAGCTTTGCATTTATAATTAAGTATGTAGAACATTATGAAATTCATGTATTTAATTATAAATCAAAAGTAGATTAAAAAGACCATTTTTTTGAAAATTAGCATCTGAATTTACCCTTAATAGTTACCAACCCATTTTACAATGCCCGCTAGGGACAAATCTTTAAAAATGTCTTTACAATCTTTCACGAAGGAAAAGAATAAGTCAGGTTCCCGAGAATCATGCATCATACCACTTCC